GCTGAACCGAATGTTCCTCGGATTTTATCTCTTTGGAAGAACACTTGTTACCCCGGTAAACGTCTTTTTCGTCCACTGTCTCGACTTTCAACGACTCCTTCTCCTCACTGATACCGTCAGGCAGACTCTCTTGACTCTCTTTCAGTCCTAGATAACCGAATTCCTCGTTCCTCAGCGAATTCTCGGTTCTGCAATCTACTTTTTGGCGTTCCAATGAGGATTCCTTAGCTTCGGGCTTGTCAAGTTGCTCTGACAGGAACACAGCAGCCTCTGTCCTGCTCTCGTTCGGCTTCGAAGGCTCAAACTTGGCTGCTGGACCATTGAAATCCTCATCCTCCTGGTCCTCGGCCAGTTTCTTCAGCTCCTTGCCCTTCTCAGTCTCCTTTTTTCTACTTACCTCTCTATCGTCATCCTCCTCGTCCTTGATCACACCATTCAACACAGTCATCACATACTTTTCTAGGGTTTCCAGGTTTCTCTCCACGCTGTTCCTGTCGTCCTCCTCTTTCCTCGGCGAGTCACCGTTTTTCGAGTCAGGAACCTTTTTCCTCAGATTATTGATCACGTTACTGAGTCTGCTCCTTTTATCCTGAGCTGTCTGAGCGGATCTGTAAGTGTGTCCGTGCTTCTCTTGCTGCTGACGGTCGCTATTCGCGCTGGCAGGATGGCTCACGCCCAGGTCGTCGAGATTGTGTGTAGAAGCGACCATACTGGCGTCGACGCTCGATGGGGACGACGCTGCCGTCGTCTTGGACGACGCCGTCGTTGCCGGGGAAAATTTCGCTGCGCCAAAAGCCTCTACTGCCTCGCTGCTCGTCTTGCTACCAGTCACGTCTGCCGAAGCTGCTTCTGAAAATTCAACATCACCATTGGTTACCGTTTAACTCCTCGCCAAACAAATCCTTCTTTACATAACCCACGTACAACTCCGAATCAAATCATTTTTAACCACTCCTGCGAAAATTTAATATTGATCTTTCATACTAAAATATCGAGAAACGTTACCAAGAAGCATTTCGTTACATCTAACGAAGATTTAACAATGATTGGTCAACTCTGCGTGGATTAGGACGTTGGACTAAGGAGATTCTTGCTCTATACAGATATCCCAGTAGATATTTGGAAATTAAATAATTTTTAACGTCCCCTGCATACATTTAACATCGATTTTTTATACCAAAATTTAGAGAAAAATGATTGAAAAGTGTTTCATCACACCTAAAATGGGGATTTAGCCATAATTGGTCAGCTCTGCGTCAATTAGGACGTTGGCTAAGAGGATTCTAAGTTTATATAAAACTCTCAGTAGATATTTGGAAATTAAATAATTTTTAACGCCCCCTGCATAAATTTAACATCAATCTATCAAACTAAAATGTCGAGAAAAATAACCAAAAAGCCTTTCGTTACATCTAACAAAGATTTAGTCATAATTGATCAGCTGTACGTCGATTAGGACGTCAGCTGAGGAGATTCTTGGTCTTTATAAATATCCCAGTAGATATTTGGAATAAAACAGCGATTGCTCCAATTCGTAAGTCTCGCAGGAACGTACATATCTCAAAGACACGACGAGACGTTTAAAATTGGATTCATAAATTGAACATTCAGCGGGGAGAAGTAAAACATCCGAACGATGGTATGCATTCAGCAAATGGGATATGCAGCCTACGCAAACGGAAGTGAAAAAAACAGGCCAAGTTATATAAGCATCAAACAGATCAATAATTCCTTGCTTGCCCGATGTGGTCGTAACCATCGACGGACCACCGAAGAAAATTCTGAAAAGATCCGTCACCTTGAAATTCATGTTCTGCCTAGCACCCTGCTACCTATTGTTTCGCTCATGCCCAGCGCTGACGCTCTCGAGGTATCGCTTCGAGGAATAAAATTACAGATCCTTGTTCCATGTTCACTGGTATCCAAATCCTCTTTAAACCCGCTTAAATTCTATTTAGTTTGTGATAAACTTTTAATTTTCATCGACTATTTAGAGCACTGTGCATATTTTCCTGACATGTTCGCTCTCTGAGAATATCTGGCTTCCTGAATTTTTCCTTTTACACCCATCGATTTAACAAGGTTCCGATGCAACGAAAACAGATTTACAAAATGGTCCTGGTAATAAGTTCAGTGGTTCTCGCTAAATATCCTGTGTAGAAGTTATTAAACGCTGGTTGTAAGCCGATTAAAGCGTTTCACGAGCCAGAAATCAGGGTCCTGGTCCTTATGAAAAACCTCCTCATAAATCTGCCGGTGTTTTATTGCGGCAAATTAACTTCCACTGGCGAAATTTTTGAACTAGGTTCATTGGAAAAATATATCCTTTCTTGGAACGGTCGATACGTAGACTAAATAAAAAAGCAGAGTAACTGTAGCGCAGATAAAAAGATTTTATGATCTTTCTTCCGTTTTTAGATTCTGCATTTCTCAAGAGACTTACTCTTTTTACTTTCTCAGTAAGTAACAAATCTTTTATCGCTTCTCAAGCAGCAACCTTTTAAACAATTTTTAAATACTATACTTCTTTCCAAACGTTAGATAATTTCTTGACAATTGCAAAATTTTTACTACCTTTTACATTTCGATTTTTCCTAGTAACAATTATTATCTCCTTTTGCCAGAGAATACTTGGATGCTGCACATGGAAGGAAGCTATATCAGAAACCGAATTAGAAATCGAAGTAACAGCCTGCTGTGTAAGGCGGAAAAAATGAGATTGAGAAAAAAAAATTAAAGAGCTGTCCGCCTAAAGGTCCGAACTGGTCTAGTACAGAAAGTTTATCGGGATTGGAATGTCGAAGGAGCTGTTTCAGTCGAGGTGCGTTTATTTTCACAGGCCAAGTGCCAACTGGTGTGGAATACGGGACGCAATGGCGATGTTAGCGCCCAGTGTACCACATTTATTAATGTTTCGCGAAATTTTTCTCCGCAATGGATCGCCATAGATCTTAGATCAGTGTCCTTCGCTACATTCAGGGCGAGCCTGACATAGTAAACATTTCGAGTAACCAAAAATATAATCCCGAATTTGCCGCATTACCAAAATCGAAATTGCATTTGCAAATTTTTAATCACGTCGCTTAGTATAATTATACTTATGACACCGGAAGTCATCTGCAGCCGAAAGACAAAAATTATAATAAACAAAATTAAACTAAACTAAACTAGTATAATTATACTATATATTTTCAGAATTTTTATTTAATATGCCAAACTTCATTTCAATAATTTTCTTTTTCCCCTTTATGTGTATTTTATCTTCATGAACTTATTTCGTGTCGCAAAGTGAAGAAGAAAATTGTCACTGAATAATTCACCGATGTCAGTTAATGGCAGCCATGCTATTATCTACGAAATTCGTATCGGTGTATCACTGTAATCCGAGCAATATATTACCCAGAGTTCACTATTTGGATCTTGGGGAGATCACTGCGATTGATTGACGACGAAATATTTTCATCGCCGTTTCGCAGACGGTAAAAACTGATATAATTATTGTTGGGATCGAAGTTTTTGTTCGGACTGTCTGAAGGCACGCAACTTAGTGTCAATAATTCCACTCGACTGATAATTCGATATCCGCTAATGAATGGTCGCATATCAACGTGCAAGAAAAAGACATTTCATCCTTGCTATTCGTCGTACAAATGCTCGACTGGAAAAATACTTGGACAATGAGGATTTTCTTTTCTCTTTTTCTTTATAAATTTTGGAATTTTTTAATGTATCTACGAAACGAGAAAATGGTGACAAAATGACAACACATTCTGCGATTCTCAGTATTTTTCTCAGAAAGAGATAATTTGGAACTGTATTTTGGTAAATAAAAGAATTAAAAAAGAGAAGGAAGATTATAATTCTAAATTAAATTTGGTTTTGTAAAGCAAGGTTGCTATTATATTGACAAAAGTATGGTGGAAAAATTGCTATTTGTAATATGGACGTAGATATAGCAAAAATCATTCATCGCTGAAATTTACTACTGACAGGCAATTTTTTACAGTTAAATCGGGATTTGACATACGAAAATACGTCATTTTTAAATGTCGAGAAAATCTCGTTGATTTTTGTCATACCAATCTTCACATAAACAAATCAAATTTATCAAAAAAAATATATAATATTAGTTATATTTTTTCTATTCCATTTTTATGTCTAGTTAATCTTCTATATTATTAAAAAAGGAATAACTGATATAGTATAATTTATAGTTAGTTGTATATAATATATTATATCGTATTACTATAGACATATAGTATTTCTATAGCACATTGTGTACAGCATTTGTACAAAATTTGCACCCATTGCATTAGTTCCTAACGAAAATGTCAAGTGTTATAATTTTGTCACAGACTGTATTTTCAACCATCCATCAAATCTTTCGAAATATCTGAAATACTTTTTCCAAATATTCCACAAAAATCAAATTTATAAAACAAAATATAAAATACAGTTAATATTCTTTTATATTATTAAAAAAATAATAATTTATATAGTTTAATTTATAGTTAGTTAAGTCTAATATATTATATCGTATTATTATAGCCATACAGTATTTCTATAGCACATTGTGTACAATATATGTAAAATTTGCATCCATTGCATTAGTTCTTAACAAAAATTTCATGTGCTATAATTTTGTCGCAGACTGTATTTTCAACCATCGATCAAATTTTTGAAAATATCTGGAATATTTTCTTTACTTGTAAACATTTTTCAGTGTTTTCTCAAATATTTCGAAGATGCTCATTCGCATATTCTCTATTGATATGGATGATAATATTTTCCATGGGGAAGGAAGAATTTATTTACTCTAACCTCGCTTTGATATTCAGCTGGACGTCGCGAGGAACATTAAAAATAACGCTCTCTTCTTAGCGTACGTGAGAGTAGTGTGTTCATCTACACAACTAAAGAGTGCCGCGCTTAGGGATGCATAGAATTTTACAGAAGCATCGTCCTCGCATTCATCGGGCAGCATGTCTTGAATATTTTTCCAATATTTTTCACTTACACGCCATGCACGGGTTCTCCAGAGGCAGCTGCCCCAAAAATTCTTTTCTCTACACTTCCATTTTCTCTCTCATAGCCAGACGAGAACTTGCTCCAGCCATTCTGCGCATATCTCGCTGCGTAGATGGCGCTAATTCAGTGACTTGTTAGGTTAGGTGACGTTTAACTCGTAAATATTCAAGCAAAAGGTTTATTATTTAATCGAAACAGGGAAAGGAATTAAATCCTTGTCAAAATACTACATTCTCATTTGCAACTATAATTTTTCCTGTCTCATAGCTACACCAGAACTTACGCACGCCTTTCTGCGCATATCTCCCTACGTAGATGGCGCTGATGCAGTCACTTGCTAGGTTAGGTGACGTTTAACTTGTAAATATGCAAGTAGAAGGTCTATTATTTAATCAAAACAGGAAAAGGGACAGTTGTCAGAAATGTAAATTCTGATTTGCAACTATAATTTATACAAATACATCATTAGAGTAAATTATCAAAGGGTTATAATACAATTAACTTGATCACTTAGGTTAGGTAATGTTTAATTCTAAAATTCTCAAACAGAAGATCTATTATTTAATCAGAACAGGCAAAGGAAAGGAAAATTCTGATTTGCAACTATAATTTATGCAAATACATAACTGGAACAAATTGTCATGGGATTATAATACGATTCAAATGGCTAAGAAAATTTATTATGATCATGATGCACCAAACTGTCAATTGACAAATCAAAATAAGAATAAAATGATAAATATAAATGAAAATGAAAAATCATTTACTTGAATAAATAATCCAACATAATTAAATATTTAGTCTAATAACAGAATGTGAAT